CAATTATTAATTTACCGCAAAAATTTAAAGACATTCTATTTTTTATTTAAAAAAGAAAGAAAAAAATAAATCTTGCAAAAATTTAAAGACATTCTATTTTTTATTTAAAAAAGAAAGAAAAAAATAAATCTTGCAAAGCTTTTTAGTTCACTATGGAGTTTTTTCTCCACTCTAAACAAAGTGCCTAAGAAGCTAAATGGATTGAATGCCCTGTCCTAGTTGTGCAGGAAAAACATAACTTGAATAATATCCTCCGCCTGAGAGGACTTTTTTGCTATTAATATTTTATATCACATTACAACTCCCGCAACAAATGTAACACGAGAACCATAAATCATCCAACAAGGAGCTCCTCTTCTCTCTTTCTCTGCGGTCCCGGCGCGCTGCAGTTTTTATTACTCGTTTTCTGCCAATCTCCTGTCAATCCTGCAATAAAAGTATAACAACTCTCAGGACGGAGAGCAGGTGAAGAACAACAACGCCTTGTTCTTCTCTCAGCCTCGAACAAATAAAATAAATAAATCAGCCCGCAGTGGAGATAGAATCAACAAGTTCTACTTCTTTAATTACCTGCCCCAACAAAACGCTACCTAGATAAAAGCAGACGAGTTCCATCAGTCTTTTTCACCAAACGCTATTATCCAGCCTGTGGGTCTGTCTGTTGAAAAGAACCTGAAGGCTCAAGTTTTTGTTACGCACAAAGCAGACGACCCTCATTTATGCCCCGTTTTTCAAGGAATCAGTTGAAAGGATGATCTCTGAGGGAGAGAAGAATTGCCGGGAAAGCTTCCGAAAAGGTGCACGTGGTGGTCCATTTGATAATTTCCAACACTTTTTGTTGCACCACTCAAACAGGCAGACAAGGAAGGGGAGCCTGAGGAGCCTCGTCAAGTTCTGTCAATGATTTCCCTTTAATAATCAAGAATTTTATATATTGAATAGCCCCCACCCTCCTCATAAAGATGGAGGATGAAATGATAAAGAAAATTGATTATTGAGGAATAATATGAAAAATTTTGTTAGGTTTATTTTTATTTTAACAGATAACATTTTATTACAAAAATTAATAAGGGTGATCCAAATGCTCAGAGCTTTTTTGGTTTGAGGCTAAATGGTAGCGTTGACAAAATTTACAAGATCTAGAAAGAAGTCAACTTATAAATTAGGCTCACTGCGGCAGATGGGGTCTATTCGCAATCTCGCAAGTTTTAGCAAAATCTTTGAAAGTAGATGAGTCGTTTTGGATTACCCTCAATTTGTTATGTTTCTCATTTCGATTCACCTAAACATAAAGATGCAAAATCGAAAAAAAGAACAACTGAACTCCAAAAGAAAAATTTATCATAATTTATATTTTCCAAATATTTATTAAATTGTGAAAAGGCTCCCTTGTGGGTGAGCTCTTGTTGCAACAAAAACTTCCTTTATTTCTCCCTTTTTCACCTGCAACGAGGCATTTGCATTCTCGAGATAAACGCGTAATAAATATCGGAGGGTTTTAACGCACACACAGGCGCAATAAAAAAGGCTCTCGGCGCGTGCGGCTGCAAAGAAATCCAGGGCACCGACGATGTGCGTTCGCGCTCTTGTACATTTTACTGTGCATTTTCGTCTCGGGAACAAATTTTTCGCCGGCGCACCTCTACGTTCCATTTCGTTCTTTTTACCCCACTTGGCTCGCTCGTAAATTCAGACTTAATATGCAGCTGGCGCGAATTAAATTTGTTGTCGCGTGTGACGCCGGCTGCACGAAAAGAGAGAGAAAGTGGCTTTCGACTCTCTCTCTCTTCGCCAACGTCTTTCCTGCGTGTGCAACTTAATTTATTAAGCGAGAATGTTTGAGTGAGAAATCATAAAGAAGTGAAAAAGAGAGAAATATTTTTTTAACGCAAGACTATTAGCAATTCAAATGATGAAGATAAGTGAAGATTAGAAGTGAAAAAAGTTTCAAAATTAATCAAATTTTTGAACGGTAATACTAACAAACTTTTAAATTCCTCGCGCTAATCGATTTGAAAGCTTATTTACGGATAAATATTGAAATTTAATATTGGGCAAATACTGCCTTTTTTTCGCTGAGCTAAATACAGAAAAAGGGCTCTTTTGATTGCGTTTATTATTACGCAACATTATTCAATCAATAAAAACAAAAACGAACTAATGAATTTTATCTATTTAAATTTGCAATAAAATTTTATTGGAATGACTGAATGATTTAAACAAGCTTTTAAAAGGACTAAATATCACTTAAAAAAAAAAATTGTCGCTGATTTTATTTGATGAAAATAAAACAAATTATTTGCAATTCTATTCATTTGACATGCTGCGTAGTTCGAAATATATTTAATCAAATTCTGTTAGATTTAAAGTGAACTTTCTTTATGAATGGTCGATTTCATCATTTTATTTTAAGTTTTGTTTTAGATTGCAATTAAAATACAAATTGCTACACTCTTGACGATTTTAATTAGTACTGTGACTTTATTAGAAATTTACTTAACTGTTTTAATTAAAAATCTGTGCAACTTTCTTCTCATTATTACACTCTCATTGCCGTCACTTGAGGCGGCTAAATTTTATCTCCCGTCGTCTCTCAACAAATTTATGAATATGACGAGATCGCGTGCAGAGACGAGGACAAACAAATAATAGTCCGGGAGGGAACGGCCGGTGTTAATTTATCTTTGAAATTAAATCTCTCCCTTGCGAGCGCGTTTAAGCGAGTGCCGCACCACTTGGAAGATAACACGTCGCTTTATTTAGTCATAATGGAATTCTTTCTTTTTCTTTCCTTATTTTCTTCGGCCATGTGCCGACCGACGTGCAAAGAGCACTGCATCCTCAGGGGTGCTGACACTGTGCTTTTTCTAGCTCTAGCCAACAACTCGCAATTTAATGAAAGAAACGGAGCAATTTACTTGAGCGAAATTGTGTCTCGCTCCACTGGAAGGCAGGCAGGGAACGCCATGAATTTTTAAAAATTCTCTTCACTAGCCTTCTATAAAAAGACTTTCCCCGTGATGATTCATGTGGGAAAAAGATTTACATTAGAAAATATTTCTTGAAAAGAGCAAAACGCAATTTTGGTTTTAAACTTAGCCAGTTTTAGGACATAATGGCGTGTATTTTAAAATCTTACTAAGATTATTTATAATCATCTAGATGATTTTCTTTTGCCCTTAAAATAGCTTTATGTAACTCTCGTGCGGCTCGCTTAACTCGCTTAAATCGTGCGGCTCGCTTAACGTTCAATTTTAAAATGTTGCCCAATGTTTAATTCTTGCATTCAAAACCAATTTTGCAGCACTCGTTCATATTTCGGATAAAATAGAGCTTCAAATAAGAAATTAATTTTGTGGAGCTCGAGAGTTGAAACCAATTAGCATAAATCAAATAATACACATTTTGTTATTTCGCTTATTAGGGAACGAAAACTTTACCCATCAGACGCAACATCACAAAGCCCAAACAATTAATTTTGCAGCCGCTCTCTCGGGTTGAAATGGAATCGTTGGGATGTTTTCAAATGCAAATTTGTTTAACTGTTTAGCTTTTCAACTCGCGCTGATGATGAAAGGGAAGACACTTCTTTGTTGGGAGTTTTCAACAAAACTGCTGGCGCTGTCAGAAATTCGCGCGCGCGGTTCATTTTGACGAGTCGTATCCCTTTCATTTCGCAGTGCAGCTTCCCTTTTTTAGACCCACACGCATACATGGCTCGTGCGCACTTTTATTTTTTTTATTTTTAAGTCGCATTTGCAGGCGAGGGAGATCGCGTGGGCGAAATATGCCATTAACGATTTTTTTAAGCCTAAAGAGATCAAAAGGACGCGGAGAACTTTTTAAAGTTACTCATATTTACATCAGATAATACCGCGAGCGCCCCTCTCTCTTTTGAACTTTGCACTTTCGCGTTACGTGACGAGAATCATACGATATAAAAATGTGCCGAGAAAAAAGAAAAAAAGCGCCATTCGCGCCTAGCGATAAGATTTTAATGCGTGTTGACCCTTGGCGCGCCCCACGCCGCCTAATCTCACAGTCGGCTTGAAAATTTCCAGCAACGCGAAAACTCGTTACACTTTTATGAATGTGTCTGTATTTTTCCTGTTTTGCTAATTAAAAAACAAAGAAGAACTGAATTTTTTTTGCTGCCTGCTTAGGGCTAAGTTACAATTACAAATTTTTATCTCACTCTTTAGTTCGTTTCAGTGAAGGTGATGATCATGGAACTAATTGCTACTTTAAAAAAAGGAGAATTTTCTTAATCATAAATAAAGTGAATTTAATCTTTACTCCATCTTTACGCTGTTATTTCCGCGGGCTCTGCTTGAAATTGATTGCATAAATTTTTTTAATGATTTAAGATTGGCTCAGTTGCAGTTTAAAATGGCTTATTTTGCTAAAAAGAATCTGAAGGCGTGAAAATTGATATAAATTCTCTTTTGGCCACCCAATTTTTGCATTACTTTTGCTTCAATTGTTGGAACAACTGGTACCAACAATGCAACAATGGCCATTATTTATAGATTCAATATCAAATGGCTCCATGTGAATGTGAATTTGAAAAAGACCATCCCACACAGATTTTCTTCCCTAAAATTAAATAATTTAATAAAGAGTAATAATGTTTAAAAAGTGTTCAATTTGATTTATTTTAATATTTTAATTGGAATTACTTGCTATTTATTGTTAATAAATAATAAAAATATATTACTTGCAATTAACTTTACTGGTCATATTTTTATTAAAAAAAAAATTAAATTAAAAAGTATAAGTTGAGTCGATTTCATTGCAAAGTTTTCTTTCGCCCGAAAATTAAAAGATTAGACTCCTATTTAGCAATACAGTTGTTCATTTGCATCTAAAAATTTCATCATTCAGAACATTTATTCATTTTTATTTGACTAAACGTATGATAATATTTTGATATTCAATAATCTCGATTGTGCTTTTGACATTTTTCTCATCTCGTGCTGTCATTTTTTGTTTGTTTGCAGCCAACAAAGACCTGGTGGAGCGATTCCACTTCCTGCACAATACGCTCAAGATACCACACAAGCAGATAGTGAAGCAGCCACACGCGCTGCTCGCCCGTCTCAACTACGTTCGGCAACGACACTTTTTCTTGCACAGCCTCAGCAAGGCTCAATATGACCCGGCGCTTCCAAATTACGTTTCGCTTTTAGCCCTCGTGTCGGGCAGCAGCGCCGAATTTGCATCCAACGTCGCCGGCTCCTCTGCCGACGACTTCAGCCGCTTCTTGAAGACCATGTAGTCGATAAATGCGCGACAACGCCTCGGCTCTCTTTCTCTGCTTGCGAAAGGAAACACACACTCGACTCCCTCGGTCTGCCGAGCCGCTGCGCCTAATTGCCTCGTGTCTTTTAATTGCCGGCCAGAATTTACATTTTTAATTGCCGCACTTATTTTCAATGACGACACGCCAAAATGATCATGTAGAACGAAATCCTCAATAAAACTTATTTTATTCCAAAACCCTTTTACTCTGATTTGAAAAAGTCATCTCCAGTTAGTGGTTATTTACAAAATTGCACTCTATTTTTTCCAAGTAATCAACACTAGACTTGCAAATTTTCTAGTCAGCCAAAAGAAAACGCTTTTTAGAAAATTTTTGTTTCTCATTTACCTGATTTGCATACTTCTTAAAATGAGCCAATAGAAGAATATTTTTGCAAGGGTCAGTTCCCTGAAATAATTTTTTTTTATTAGATTAAGAAAGTATTTGGAATTATTTACTATTTTTAATGCATTTTACTACAATCTGGCATTATAACTTGGGAAAACCTACGAGTTAACACATGCAAATTTTATTTTCATGTAATCAATTTAATGAGCCATTTTATATAAGTGTAATTCCTTGGTACAGGTAATTAATATATAATAATTGGCATTTTTTTAAATAAAATGTTTTAAATAAATAAAATTTAATAAAATTCTAGATAATTAACTCTTTTTATAAACATGTAAGAATGTCGAAATGAAGAACTGAAGAAGTCGGGCTTGTCCTTGTAAAAAATTGTTTTTGTTCAAAAACAAAACGACCGTTGTGTTTTTGAATAAAAATAATTTTTTACAAGAGCCGTTTTGTTTTTTAATAAAGACGGTTTTTTACAACGAGGACAAGCCCAACTTCTTCATTTCCATGATAATCATCTCGAGTGTCAACTTCTTCAAATAAATGTAAGAATGTAATAAATATTATATCACTAAGTAATAACATTGATAAATTTAAATTAATTAAATTTTTATTAAAGGAACTAGAATTATAAATATACAAGCTTGACTTTGCTGAAGCTAAAGCACAGGTGGGTATTATTTTCTTTGTAATTAGCACACTGCAGTGTCTGCCCACGGCAGTTCTGTGATTCACCCTTCAGATTAATTAAAGACCCACTTAATGCACCCTCGTTGAAACTTCTCAGTGGCTGGTTGGCTCGCCCACATTCTGGCACCAGTAGCAAGAGAGAGAGACCCTCCAGTCTTTAGGCCGCTCTATCTTCGTCTGTCACCAGCGGGGTGTGTGTTGACGCCGTGTTTGAGTAGACAGACACAACAGCTAGGCCCGGCGCCTAATTACGAATGCACACAAATCGCATTGTAGCATCGGTCTGGCGGCACAGCATCTGCTCGGATCAGCCCGACGGGGTTTGTACATTCGGGCGTGTGACCTCCTAACCACCGATCATTATTATTCGAAACAGTTGCATTTTAATCAGAGCTCCTACACGGGCTGCATAATCTGCCAAAATCGCTCGCTCGCTCGCTCTCTCCAGCGTCACTCGCTGGCACTTTTGATTAATTTTCGACGGGCTGGCTGCTGGGCGGAGAGGCGTTTTGATGGTTTGATCGGGCTCGTCAGCCCGAGCGCCTGACGCGCGTGAATCGACTAATTGAAAATCGAATTCGCTGCCAAATCGAGTGGAAATCGCAATTTGAAATTTGCCGCAGAGCCCACGGCCGCGATTAGGCGAGCCGAGGTTCCACGCTGTAGATAAAGAGTAAAGAGAGCTACTTTTCGCGTCAACTTAAACACTGCAGACACGGTAATCTCCGTAATAAGCAGGCCAAATTTGAACAAACGGTTCAAATAATAATATTTAAGACCAATTATGTATGAAAATTATAAATCAGCATTTGATTAAGATCTAAATCTATTAAACTTAAAGGCCCTCTAAAGAATGATTTTTATTTTTGGAAAATATATCACATATAAATTTAAGTTGAAAAATTAACATCCTAGCCTAGGTAAAGGTTTTTTTTATAAAAAATAATTTGCATGCTAAGTTTTGGTGGCCTTAATCAATTAACCCACCGTTAATACTAAAACATTTTGTAAAATAATATTCAAATTTTCATCTTTCGGTAAAAAACGGCAAGGAAGATCTTTTCTCATCAACATAATTTTTCTTACACTTCTTCATGATCAATTTGAGCAGAATTGCCATTTTAAGCTGTGGAATTACCTTATGCATGCAATTTTTCATACGAAATTTTGAATATTTTCCAAAAAATTGGGGGAAATTGTTACTGGAGTGGGCCTTTCGTTATCGAATTTATAACTGCACATCAAAACATTCAGATATAAGGCAGCAAATATTAAAAAAAAAGACAAAAATGAGGATATTTTTGAACTGTGTGAAACTGTAAGTAAAATTATAGCAATATTGAATTACTTTTTATTCACGTTTGCACTCTGGCCGGACCCTCTTTGAACAAATTCTCTCTCAGGTTCGCCCTGTCTGCATTTCTGCACGCTGGAAGGCATTGGAGATCCGTCAGTAAACAATGTAAGCACCGAGTCGAGATTGGAAAGCGTGTACCGGCGCAGACAGAAAATCGACGATACCTCATGTAAATGTCAAGTGCAAACAGAGCCGATGGTCGGAAACGTAAGTACGCTCTATAAACTCCATTTGGATCAATCCAGGCCGTTGTTTTCGGGTTGAAAGCTCGCGAAAATAGAGAGGAAACGATCAATACACGTGTGCAAAATGTGATGAGTGGGCGGAATTTCATCTTTTTGTGTTCCATTATATTAATTTTAAACGGCCAAAAACGCTCTTTGCATGGAGAGACGCGCTTTTCTTCTCTCTCCCGTTGATACTACATATTTTACCGGTGGAGATTTTATCCAATAACCCTGGCACAGTCCCGCATATTTTACGTGCGCCTAACGCGAGGGCGTTGAATAATAACGTTGTGGCGAAATTTTTGAGCGTTAATTTTATCCCCAGAAGACGAAATTGGGTTTTTCAGTAAACTTACATCAACGCGTCGACCGGAGGTGAATGTTTGATTGAAAATTGCTGGAGGCAAAAGAGACGTAAATTAGACCGGCATTGTTGCTGTCAGTTTCAGGCAGCTTGAGATAAATATGTTTCGTATTTCAAAAAGCAAACTTAATTATATTTCGGCGTAATTTATGATGTTCACCGTGTGAGACGAATTGTTAATACAAAACAGCAGTTGAAAAGATCAATGCTACTTTTTTGTGGGAGTTCTGCACAGTAAAAATATGGGCTTGTTCTCTTTGAAGAATATTTTTACAAAAAGAATTTTTTAGTTTTCATCACCCTATTTCAAAAGCAAGAAAAAGTCTGCTAAATAAAGAGTAATGAATGAATGATGCAGAATTTGTCCGTCAAGTTTTTCCTTTTGATACTCGTGCCTGCAATAACAATAATCTGGTTCAAAGAAAGGTATCTAAATATTTTTTGGATTTAGCCAGTTTCAATATTTTGCTGAGTTTAACGAGTTTTAATAAAATAAAAATAAAACTCCTATAAATATTTTTCATAGAAGAGCAAAAAATAAATTTTCTTGTCTGCTTCTTTTAGTTTATATTTTTAAAATTTAATTATTATAATATTAATTATTCTCCCAATTCGTTTGCCAATATTGAAAAATATCATGGATAAAGAGATCATTCAGATAACTTTGTCCTTTGTCTTTAATGTAATGCGTTTATTTCGAATGGTCCCATCCCTGGATCTCCCGTGAGAGAGGCACGTCCCATTTGGGAAAGATATTCGAGCGAGTCTCGCCACCTTTTCACACAACGTTGCCACTGCAGATATTCACAATTGGCACACGAGCAGAGCTAACCCCTGCCCTCCCACTCACACAAAGAGCTAAATGCAATAATCGATCTGCTATGCGCTCTCGACGAACTGCACGCCTGAATAATTTATTCGAATCACCGCGAAGGAAGAGAGAGAACACCATCGAACGAATTAAGGTGCGTGCAGCTTCTCTCTCTCTCTCTCTGCGCGACACACACTGCACATGTCAATTAAGTTTATTCCTTCATTAAACTTAATTACCAATTCCGCCTTCGCTCGCTCGCGAGCAGCGGGCGTGGAAGAAATGTCACAAATTTAATTACAACTTTGATCAATTCGCGAATTTAATCAAATATTCAGTCCCTCTCTTGACGCTTCTTCTCTCCTCGTCACCGTTTTCTCTTTCAGCCACTCGTCACGCGCCGCCCTTTGCCCAAGTTTGCGTTTTATTTTCTGCAGCTTTCTTTGCTTACGCGTGTCATTCAAGAGTCTACAAGGGCCGCAAATGAAGTGGCGGTGGTGATTTTCCGTTCGAAGCAAACTTTGCCCGCGGCTTGATTTCTGCGACCAATTTTTCGCGCCTTTCCAAAGCGTGACAAGTACGTGCTCGTGAAAGAGTCGTTACTTTCTTTTGCTTCAAAAAAATCTCCAAAAATCTTAACTTCTTCTTTAAGGTCAAAAGCAAACATGGTAGATAAATAATTACAATCATTTACAGGAGCTAATGAAAACAACAGCAACAAAAATGAATTTTAATCAGAATTTATGGTTAATTTATTGGCTTTCTTTTTAATTTATTTATTCTCCATTCGATATAATAATACGTAATAATGTAATATCTTTTTATTTTTGCAATTATTAATACATCATTTATGAGATATATTCCATTAATTTCCATTTGCAAGTTTTTTATTCATTTTAATATTTTATATATATATATTTCACTCGCAATTTGAAGTTTTAATAAGCAAGGTGGAATTCAATAAATTTGGGGTTTAAATGGATGACAAAGTGTAAGTGTATGTTGCTAATTTAAAAATAATATTATGATGGTCTCACAATATGAAATTGAACTTTTATTATCATTTCATCTGATTCGTGTTTGGTATTTTTGCTGTTTTTGTTATTTTCATGCAGAATAATTTCTCTATTTTTTAGTTTGCTGTCAATAAATTTATTGCAAAATATTTTTAGTTTAATTTTCAATGTTTCTGATTTTTAAAATCAACGAAAAAAATATTACTTGTTGTTAAATCTAATGATAAAAAAATTAGATTGCAATCAATTGTTAATTCTTGCAAAAATAACCAAGGAAAAGCAAAACAATCGTCTAGGAACGGCAAGTTAAATGAAAAAAAAAAAAAAACACATGCAGCGTTTTATTTCATATGTATTCAAATTCAAATGATCAAG